GGGGCCCCTCCTCGCCGCCCCCAGCCCGGCAGGTGTTTGCGCCCCGTGGGAGGAGCGGGCCGAACCGGTTGCGCCCTGGTTCCGGGGCCGTGCCCCTCGCTCTTCCCCCCCCACCCCCGGCTCTGTCCCGACCCCACGCTCAGCCCTCAGATTCGCCCCGGAAGCAGGCGTCCAGTCACCCACCTAGGCAGGCCTCACCCGGGGACGAAGGCAAGCTCAGAAGGGACACACTCAGAGCGACCGGCGCACCGCACTCAGCCTCCCACACAGAGACCCTCAGATTCACACATGAACCCGCAGAGGAGCTCAAACAGGCTCCCACACGTTAGCATTCTCTCTGCAAGACACCCTCAGACTCACACACACACCCGGAGAGATGCACCCACAAACTCACTCATAGAGACACTTGCTGAATCAAATCCACAGACACCTTTTGACAGTCTCCAGAGACCCACACAGGTAGATACACCTGTGGACACCCTCAGACTCTCACACAAGATCCACAGAGGTAGATACACCCACAGACACACCCTGACTCAGAAGGAGACCTGCAGACGCACTCAGAGTGAAAAGCAGGGACACCCGCCCCCCGCCGCCCACACAGGGAGACCCTCAGATCCCACACAAACCCACAGAGAAGTTCAGACAGGCACACACACTCTCATGCACCCACACTACTCACAGACATCCTAAAATTCACACACAGAGACACTCATACATTCTGATGATGCACACTCTCAGATCTGCACACAGAGGCAGTGCCCCCCACCATTGACTCCCTGAGCACTGATTCACTCATACACACAGATGCTAGCAAACACTGGCCGACTCATACACGGTAACCTTCAGACCCAGACCCAGAGAGTCACTCAAACACACTTCAGTGCGCACACACATGCTCACACCCAGACACAGACATATAGTCTCAGTCACTCCGGGTGGTGGATCCATTCCCTCACACGCGCACACAGACAATGAGACACACTCCACCAGGATCATACGCTCACACAGACACACCCAATATACGCCTCCAGGGACCCACAGTCTTCAGACTCACACGCACGTGGGTTCAGACACTCGGAGCCCCCAGGATGAACACAATCACAGTCAGAAACCCGAACTCCATTCTCTAACCCAGGGCCTGAGGTCCCCATCCAGCCAAGCCCCGGATGTCTAACCTCGGCCAACTGCTGTCACACACTCTTTACAGAGCAGCCTGGGGCGAGGGCAAGATCCCAGAGTTTTGATCCCAGCCGTGGCATTACCCTTCTGTGTGGCCTAGGGCAAAGCGGTTCACCTCACTGACCTGTTCCCTTGTCTGTACAATGGGGAGACCCTCTATCTTGGGTGGCTGTGAGAGTTAAGATAAGGTGTACATTAGTTTTCTGTTGCTGCAAAACACACTAAGAGGCTTGACAACATCCACATATTAGTGGACAGTCACATAGGTGAGAAATCTAAGCAGTTTTAACAGTGTTCTTTGCTTGGGGCCTCATAACGTATCAGCCAGACGGGGCTCTTATCTGGAGGCTCTGCAGAAGAATCCGCTTGTAAGCTCCTTCAGGCTGTTAGCAGTTGCTGTTTCTTGTGGCTATGGGACAAGGCCCCTGTTTCCTCGCACACCTTTTGCTGGGGAGTTGCTCTTGAGTTGCTCTTAACTCCTAGAAATGGCTCTCTGGTTCTTCTCATGGCTTCCTCCATCTTCAAGGTCAGTATCAGGATGTCAAAAACAGAAGTCAGAGGTTGCTGCTCCTCTACCAAAAACCCTCCCGGGGTCTCATCTCACTTGTTGGACTCATTTTACAAGTTGGACGCAGTCCTAAGTCCTTTGGCTCTGCTCCCTCTTTGTCCTACCTCTTACCACACCACTGGCTCACTCCGCTCCAGATCCACTGTCCTGACTTTGCTGTTCCCTCTGACTGAAACACTTTTCCCTCCAGATAGCTGTGTGGCTCACTCTCACAGCACTGTGCTCAAACATCACTTTCTTCGTAAAGTATTCCCTCACCACCCTTTGTAAAGTGGCAGCACCCCTCGCTGAAATGCCACATCCTCCTTACTCTGCTTTATTTTTTCTCTCTAGCCCTTATCACTATCTGACATATCATATATATATGACACCATACATATTTTTTCTTGTTTATTTGCTTATTGTCTCTCTCTCCCCCTTCCCAGAGTCTAGAAGAGTGCCTAGCAAAAAGCAGGTGCTCAGTAGATACTTGATTGGATAAATACCCCCCCACCAGTCTGACCGATGAAGAACAGAGGCTTTCACAGGGGAAATGACACACTCAAGGTCACAGGGAGTGGAGAAGGCCAGTGCGCTGTCCACTGCCCTGCTGGCTGCCTAAGACCATGGCAGAAGGAAGACAGGCCAGAGGGAGATCAGCACTCAGAGGCCTAGAGAAGGGACAGGACAACAGGGAGGCCAGGGAAGGCTGGCCTAGAGCTGGGGAAGGAGTCTCAGGGACCCATGAGGCATGTCTGATTGACCAGCAGTGAGGCTCCCAGGAACCAGGCCTGAATGTTAAAAGTAGACATGTGTGCCGGTTCAGCATGCAGACCCTGCTTGGAGGCCCGCATTCTAGCTTTTCCACTTACCATCTGAGTCACGATGGCGGTTTTAAAGCATGTGTGCACATTCTGACTGCCCTCCCATTGAGCAGTAGGGTCTATGTCCCCTCCCCTTAAGTCTGGGTCAACCTTAGTGACTGGCTTGTAACCAGTAGAATGCAGAAGAAGTGACATGCGTCACTTCCGAAGCTAGGTCAGAAAGTTTCCGGCAGCTTCCTCCTGGCTCACTTGGGTTGCGCGCTCTGGGGGATGCCAGCTTCCACATAAGGACCCTGACTACCCTGAGCCACGCTTGCTGGAGAGGCCACAGTGGGCCCAGCTGAGCCCCCAGCCAACAGCCAGCATCAAGTACCAGGCATGTGAGTGAGTGATCTCAGGTGTCTAACTTTGATGCAGCCCCAACTGACATCTGATGGCAGCTGCATGAGGGACACACAAGCAGGAACTGCTCAGGGGAAGCCCTTCCCAAATGCCTGGCCCACAGAATAAATGGTGGTTGTTTGACACCACTAAGTTTGGGGATAATATTGTATGCCACAATGGAATCGTGACCTTGAGCAAGCAAATGAACTTCTTCTGGGCCTGTTTCTTCAGTTGTAAAATGGGGACAATGCCTCCCAGTGTGAGTGTCATCATGGAGTGAGTTATAAATGTGGAGTTCTTAGAACCGTGCCCAAACACAGTACGTGCTCTGCAAGTGTGAGCTCCTACGACTCAGGACCGGACAGCCACATCTGTCAGAGGTAGACGTCCAGAGCTGGGAGGAATTGGAAAGGTCATCCAACGCCTCCCTCCGCTGGGGGAGAGGGAAACTGAGGTCCAGAAAGTGCAAGGGACTGCCTAAAGCCGCATAGCCATGGGGGCAGAGCTGTTTTCAACAACAGAAGCCTCCTGACCTAGGCCAGTGCTTTTCCTGCTGTGCTCCAGGTTGCCTGCTCACCTGGCAAGAGAGGCAGGGGGTCCCTGGGGTGAATGCAGACAAAGCTGGTGGTGTCAAGGAAGAGAGGCAGCCAACGGAAACAGACTTGGCCTCTGGCCAGCAATATAGGCAGCAGACTCCTGGTGTGATTTCTCCTTTCTTGGTTAGCTCATGCCTAAAATTCCCCCAGTAGGGTTTCGGCCTGTAATACTTAAATCTTTGATCCCTTGTAAATATATCATTTTCCCATGGGAAATCGAAGTTGTCCACTACTTGCACCTGAGTATGAATAATGTGTTCTAAGAACAAGTTTGATGGTGGGAGATGCTCGAGACGGCGGATGGGGGAAGTGGTGAGTCTGGAACAGCGGACAGTGGGGAATCAGGAACAGACTCGAGGTGTGGGCTTCACAGCCCGGGGAGAGGGAGGATGCCAAGGGCCAGACAGCTCAGTAGATTGGAATTGAGGAAGAACTGCCTGCCTTGAGATAGGAACTGCCTATCCTTAGTTTAACTGTGTGACCTTGGGCAAGTCCCCTCAGGGTTCCCATCAAAAAATGAGTATAATTCACATTCACTTTGCCAAGTCATGGTGAAGATGGGATGTAAATATAATGCCTGGCAGATCGTAGGTACTTAATAGACACATTCATTGAGTAATTTGGAGTGCCCACCCAGTCTAGTCATTGTACTCAGCCCCAAACACACAGAGAGGAGTAAGACAGACCTGGTCCCCAAATTCATGGAGTTTACAGTCTGGCAACATTAAACAGATAATTATGCCAATAATTATTTAATTATAACATGATGTAATCATTTATTGTAATAATAATTTTAACTACAATTGTGATGAGTGTCATACAAGATATATATTTACGTGCTTTAGAGTGCACGTGTGTGCTTGTCTGCACCTGCAAGTGTGTGGGGGGGTAGGGCGGATCTAATCCAGCCTGCGGGAATCTAGGAAGACTTCCCTGGGGAGTGGCATTTAAGCTGAAAATGGCACCTATTATGTGCCTGGCACTGTTGTTGGCCCTGAGGATGGATATATACAACAGTAAATAAAGTAAAGTCA